TGTCATTGAGAATCTCAGGAACGACCCTTTCTGCGATGAGACCCTCGCCGTTATTAGAGTGGTTCTTTTACAAATTTATTGGCTTCTTACTTATAAAAATTGCCTTTTATAATTTTTCTATTGTCCTTCCACTAGTAAAGTGGGTGGGATGGTACAAATGTCACAAATGTTTCCCGTTGTCGTTGTAGAAGCTTCAACTTCCAATTTCTCTTATATGAATGCTTTCTAGATCGTTCTAGACTGCCCCAGTCTAAATTATGTATTTTTATTGAAATTGGAAGGGGTTAGGGTCTAAGGTGCATAATTCATGAGAATTGTTGGTGAGTTCAATCAGGCGGTCGGAAAAAACCTTAACACTCCATTTTTGTAAACTATTTAACCTGGTAGGAATAGACGATCTTGGTCGTTTTGATAAGAGTTTTAACCTAGACCTATTTGAACCCTATAGAAAGCAGGCTCTTTGACCTTTCAACCCTCTCCGCACAAATTGAGCCTCTCTCTTACTTTATGTAAAAGTAAAATATAGGATCTCGTCGAAGTAGCAAAATATTTGTTGGATAAATATTGGTAAGGTTATGTATGATGCTGCTTCAGACCTTGGGGCTTTATTACTTCATAATAGATCAGATCTTCGATTAAGAAATTATTCCTAACTCTTAGTGGCTGAATGACCTCTTTAGAAGCTGAAATCGTATTGTTAACTGGAGCTTTAAGGTATTTGAGAAGCTTTTTAAAGCTTTTGCCTGTTATTTTACAAAAGCCATAAGCTACCTGGCTAATAGCGCCCAAATGGCTCTGTATGTGCTTCATACGCCTTGGAAAAGAGCAAAAGAGGAACTGCGTTCAAAATTTACACCCTTCCTCTAGGGGAATTCCAATTCAAAATCTCTTAACTTGCCGGTTCCTCGAATGTTCAAGATAGTTTCACGCTTCTGTGTTCCAATATTCGAACCAGCATCGTTTGAAAGAAGAATAAAGACTCTGTCCTGTACCCGGGGTCCCCAGCAATCTGTGCATAAGTCAGACACACTTTAGTGAAAAAAAGGAAAAAGTAATGCATGGCGCCCATTAGGGTTAGGGCATCTCACGCCTTTCTCCTAGACTTTTTGACACCTATGTGTTGACAGATTGGAGGAAAAAGGTTCATTACGGATCCATGGACAGCGAAATCCCCATCCCCTCCACAAATCATGTCCAACATCATCTCGATTGCATCCTGAAGTACCTTTACATTCAGTTCGCTTCTCATTTAGGTGCTCGACTCAGTGGCGGTGTTCCGTATGGAAACGGACTCGGCGTGGATTGACATGATGGACGTCCAAATCGCCGTCAGTCCTCCATCAAAGCCACGCCAGAATCCCCTTGACTCCATTTTCCGTCCCAAGAGACAGAGTTATGCTGGCTTGCCACCTTGGTGTATATGTGAACCAACACCACCAGCTTGCCCACCGGGCCCACCTGGACCACCCGGCTTACCTGGTATGCGTGGAACACCAGGACAGCGAGGTCCACCTGGACGAGACAACACTCAAGTAAGTTTCCCTATTTCACACAAGTAGAAAACATCCAATTCATGCTTTTCTAGGTCTACGCGCCAATCACATGTCCACCGATCAGTCGTGAATGCATTCGATGTCCACAAGGACCGCCAGGGCCCTCAGGGCCATTGGGACCGATGGGTCGTCCCGGACCTCCAGGGCGACCTGGCATACCGGGAGCTCGTGGTAAAAACGGTCCACCCGGCCCCTCTGGTCCACCAGGCAACAAAGGCATGCCAGGATCACCAGGTCGTCCAGGAGGACCAGGAAAGCCAGGGCGCGATGGTCAACGAGGACGTGGCAAGCCTGGTCCTCCAGGACCACCTGGACGACCTGGAATGCAAGGACGACCAGGTAGCCGAGGAAACGAAGGTCGACCAGGTTCAATGGGACGACCTGGACCACAAGGGCAACCGGGAATGCGTGGCACCCCTGGACAACAAGGACGGCCTGGGCTACCCGGAGCAATGGGTTTGCCTGGAGCCGATGCAGCTTACTGTCCTTGTCCACCAAGAAATAGCGTGTACACAACAAGCACACGCGCACGGTCCGTCAAACGACAATAAATCGACGACTACGGTTTCCTTACTGATGCTTTTAATAATTTTTTACGCTAGTGCTGTTTTATTTGACAACAAAGAATTTTTTCTCTGAATGGTGTACTGTACATCTGGCAAAAGGCCAAAAAACACCTCCAACTGAAAAAAGTGAAGTGCATTATGCTGCTGTGTCACCTCTGGCCTGGGTTATGGGTTACATCATAAATAATACATACACGAATATTATGAGCTTTAAGAAAAAGACAGGAATGCATGCACTGTCAGTTACATAACGTAGTTGCCATAGGTTTTCGGGTGTGGGACGACCTTGTACCAGGCAAAGAAATTTTGTATGAACTATATTTAGCTCCCTAATGCTTGTAACAACTTATACCTCCTTTTATTTCGATGAATTTTTGAGAGCGTTTTTAATATTTCCAACTTATTTCCTAGTGAGATGAAGAATTAAGTTTCCTACTCTTTTTTTTTGACGATTTTGACCGATTCTTGGAAATACTCGACTCCGACCGAAACCTCACGGGCGGTTCCCCATTACCTGTAACCCCAGGGTGATTCAGGGTCTTACTGTAGCTATCACATTACCGTATTCATTTACTTGTTATTCACGTTAACACTGAACAAACATGTTTTTAACATGTCAAATGCATTTAACATGTTAAATACACCGTTCTGAGTTATTTCCCGGAAATTCTTGGTAAATATATAAACGAATAATAAACAAACAAATAAGTAAACAATTAAATAAATACAGATTGTATTTGTAGCACCTTAGAACAGTGAGCCTATCATCTGAGTTATTTCTTGGAAATGCTTCGCAAATATTCACGCCACGCAAAACGATAAATAAACAATGTAAGAAGTAAATAAATAAATAAGTAAATAAAAACAGATTGTATATATAGCACCTACGAACAGTGAACCTATCATTTGAAGAAGAAAGTTTAAAGAAGTGTTAGTTCAAGTGCAAAAAAAAACGCTCTCCAAAACTCGTTAAAAGTGCTTGTAAGCAACACCACTCAGAAAAAAACCGTGGACGCAATTACACTTATTGCACTGAACGCTTTTCTTCGAAGCAAACCGCGCCGGGATGGTTAAACCTCCCACTCTTTTGATCTCATTGGGATGCTTCATATATGTGCCAGATTGCTATTGAGCGGTAACGTGGTAGTCAGTGCCCAATCTATTCTAAATATTCTGCAAGATTTATTTTAAGAGACTGGCGTTTGCATACTACACAGGGCCGAGGATGTTTATCGACGCGAGAGACTCAAATCCAGAAATGAGTTTGAGGGGGGGCTGGGGAGCGTTCATCAAAGGATAGAGGATGAGATCTGTGGAATTCTGCTCGCACCAGGCTTGGACAATGTCGACTTCGTGGGCAGTCCTGTTGAATGGAACCAACTACTCCACCGAAGTGGACCCTGTCTCGATAGATCTCTACTCAGAAACTCCAAATGCTTGAGAAAACGTTAATGGTTTGGGCCATAGATCTCAAAAAGAACGAATAGCGAATGAGCGGTGTTTGCCCAGGAGTGAGATGTTTGGACTGACCACCTGTGTTCGGCTTCAATCTTGCGTAAATATGATCACTTTTCGAGTTAAATATCCCTGAATAGCAAGAGCCTTCTTGTTTATGATGGTATCTTCTCGGGCTCACCGCCTCGGACCGCTGGAGAAGTTTTTGGCAGCAACGGTTTCACTCTCTTAAAGGCACCGTTCACGATAAAAAAGTTATTGAGTTCTTACCTTATTAATACTCAGCGGCCCCATGGGTTGTAGAAGGGACCCTCTCACTCCCCCAATCTCGACGTCCAGGGCATAG